GACAAGGCACTTCCTTTGAGTGGGGGGAGAGACAGTAGGCTGCTTTTAACGAACTCAAAAAATTTCTGATGTCACCCCTGGTCCTCCAAATCGCTGATCCATCTCGACCGTTAGAAGTCTTGACGGACGCTAACGATTTCGCCATCGGCGCGGTACGGTTACATGATTTCTGTTACAGACTCCAACAAATCGCGTACGAGTCCAGAAAGTTGCAGGCAGCCGAGCGCAGCTACCCCGTCCACGACAGAGAAATGCTCGCCATCATGCACGCGTGTAAGGTGTGGCGCTGCTACCTGACGGGAGCCGACGTGACAGTACGAACAGACCACAAATCCCTACAGTACCTCGGCGCGCAGCTGAACGTCAACCCACGATAGATTCGCTGGCTGGATTTTCGAGAGAGCAACTTCCACTACACCATCACATACAAACGTGGGGCGAATAATATCGCCGACGCACTAACACAACCGTCCGCCCACCTCGCCTCCGTCATGATTGCAAAATCCAACCCACTACTCACCTGACTATTTACCCACGAATACAACACCGATCCCTTTTTTACCCACAACCTCCACCAGCAAGCCACCACGGCTAAGGGAATTTATTTCCTAAAAGCCGGTACTGACTGCATCTGGGTTCCCGCTTACCGACTCCTCCGTGAATTACTGATTCAAGAAGCCCATGTTTATAACCTTTCCGGTCATTTTGGGGTTGATAAAACCCAGAAATTACTTCACCGTTTTTATTATTGGCCAGATTTGGCTTCTGATGTGCAGAGATGCGTATCAACGTGCCTGACCTGCCAGCGCGTGAAGTCCTCTTGACAGCGGTCAGCTGGACTACTGCAATCGCTCGAGCCACCCCAGAAGCCGCAGCAACACGTGATGATGGATTTCGTCACGGGACTTCCAGTCAGCGCCAGTGGCAACGATGCCGTCCTTGTCGTCGTTGATCGCCTAACAAAGATGGCGCATTTTGCGCCCTATCGCACGACAATCACAGTCGAAGAAACAGCCAAACTATTCATCTCAATCTTTGTCCATCTGCACGGCCTACCATTGGCGATCATCAGCGACCGCTACCGCAAGTTCACGTCCAAGTTCTGGCACGAGACATGGGAACAGCACAGCACCCGCCTGCTATTTTCGTCCGCCTACCACCCACAAACCGACGGTCAGACCAAGCGCACCAATCAGACAATGGAGCAGCTGATCCGCACCAACTGCCCCAATCCTTCCCGGTGGGAAGAATTCCTGCCCATGCTGGAATGTTTCTACAACGACGCCCCATCAGCAACGACTAATCACTCGCCGCTTTTCCTCAACTATGGGATGGATCCCATGAGACCCAGGATGACTAACATTGAAAATCCCGTGCCCCGCTCCCAGCAGTTTGTTAACGACCTACAGACCGCTCGGGAGAAAGCGATCGAATTTATTCGCAAATCCAACACAACTGCCCGACGCTACACCGACCTTCATCGCCGAAATATTATGATGCCTGATGGGCAACTAGTCTTTCTCGACACGAAAAACCTCTTCCTGCCCCTGCCATCAAAACTCCGCCCAAGATGCTGTGGGCCTTTTCACATCCTCAAGATGGTGACACCTGTCACGGCGAAATTATTACTCCCAGACGAGTGGCACATTCACGACGCATTCCACGTCAGCCTCCTTCGTCCCTACATCACCAGCAGGTCAGCACTCACACGAACAGCGGCCATCCCCAGTGTCCGCCCGATGGCTGAGCTGACCCTTGAGCCTTTCCGACTTTTGAGTCATGCAGCGGCCATCCCCAGTGACCGTCTATGTAGCACGCTGCAGCTGCTACCTCTTTGAGCGCCGCATCCATGGTGCGTTGGAAGACGGTTGGCGCGTTCCGTACGTCACAAAATTTGGTGCTCGAAAAAGTATGCCCAAACATGCTTGTGACATAGTTCAGTGTATGTTGTGCGAGGGATAGTTGTGGGAATGAGGTGCGGAGTGGCCAGGGTTTGCGCAAAGTAGCCCGGTGCATTCTTACAACACTGCTGCCACACCTACCAAACACGCCAGGAATACACCCTGCAACTTCGGTAGTGCGTGACGGTTTAGATTACATAGATTTGTAACAAACTACGTACGAACTGTTTTGCGTGACGCATACAGATAGATGGTATATTAATCCGGCTAAATTGTGACACAAATGAGCCTTCTGTAATGCCAAGAGACATTTACCGTGTATTCACATTGTGACAAAATTGAGCCCTTCTATATTGTCACTACGTGATTATCGATATTTCCAACGCGTGCTGCCATTCGGTAATGCTAGATTATGCTTATTAATATGGGGATATCGACTGGAGACGTTGTAAAATGTCCGAGGGTCATCTTATCATATATGAAGATTGTATGTACAGGGTATAGAGCATGACCCTCCCCTCATGCTTGATAGGGCAGGGTGGATTCAACAATTCCCGCCGAAGTCTCCCTAACGCATACACCGCAAGCGTCGTTTTGCTCTCATTTGGCATCCAGAGCAAGATCCCTACCCGCCATGCGTGCATGTGAAAAAAAGTCGAAGAAGATCAGCACCCCCCTGGACAACTCTGCCACCCTCGGTACAGTCACGAGTCACGACGACGGGTGAGAAGCCGGATGCACGCTCCGCTGTTTGCAGCCGGGCTTCGAAACCGGCCACCCAACCCACGCCCGACCCTGCCTTCCTGCCTTCGAATCCCCCCTGATACTCTCCCCCACCACCTCCTTCCCTCCTGTTTCAGAAACCCCCACTGCTGCCATCCCCCTGCTTCAGAAACCCCCATTGCTGCCATCCCCAAGCTTCAGAAACCCCCATTGCTGCCATCCCCCTGCTTTAGGATCCCCCACCACCTCTTTCCTCCCTGCTGCAGAAACCCCCACTGCTGCGTTTACCTTCGTTCCGTCTCCCCCTCTGTTGTTTTCCTCTCTGCCCATAAAACCCCCGCTGCTGCTTTTACACTTGCTTCAGAACAACCCCCCCCCTCAACTGCTGCTGTGGCCATCCCCCTGCTTCACGATCCCCACCACCTCCTTCCTCACAGCTTCAGATTCCCCCATTGCTGCCATCATAAAGCCCCTCTGCTGCCACTCCCCTGCTTCAGGATCCCCCACCACCTGTTTCCCCCTGCTTCAGAAACCCCTACTGCGGCCATCCCCCTGATTTGCCATCCCTCACCACCTCTTTCCCCCTGCTTCAGAAACCCCCGCTGCTGCCACCCCCCTGCTTCAGGATCCCCCACCATCACTGCTGCCATCCCCCTGATTTTGGAACCACTTGTTTCCCCCATGCTTCAGGATCCCCCACTGCTGCCATCCCCCTAATTTCAAATCCCTCACCACCACCTCTTTCCCCCCTTGCTGCAGAGACCTCCACTGTTGCCGCCCCCTTGCACGAGGATCCCCCACCACCTCTTTTCCCCCTGCTTCAGGATCCCCCACCAGCCCTTTCCCCCCTGCTTCAGGATCTCCCACCACCTCTTTCCCCCCTGCTTCAGAAACCCCCACTCCGCCCATCCCCAAACTTCAGGATCCCCCACCACCAGTTTCCCTACTGGTGTAGAACCCCCCCCCCCTGCTGCCATCCCCTTGATTACGGATCCCACACCACCTCTTTCCCCCTCTGCTTCAGAATCCCTCAGTGCTACATTTACCTTGCTTCCGTCTCCCCCACTGCTGTTTGCCCCTTTTCATGCGTGAGCTTTTTGAGTAGCAGAGGACAGAGGACGGCCTATGTACGGTCAGCTCTTGCTGCTACTGCGAGCAGAAAGGCTAGTGGGGCCGCAGGCAGGTATGAAACGCGCAGTCGCATATGTGCGCGCGTGGACCACCGGTGAAGTGGATGACATCACCGGCTGCACTATCCTGCACCGAGTTGTGGCTGGTGATGAGTATTTGGTCCTGCCCATCAAACGTCTCACCGGCGTTGTGCACATTGTGAAGTCATTTGAGCGGAAAGGAGTCTGGCTACTTAATCGATGGGCTCATCTGTTCGCCACTCATGTGTTTTCCCCCTACCCTAGACAAGTGCCTCCACTCTGGCCAGCATGTATATGCCTCAAACACACCATGCGTAGTCACCTCAGATGCACCATCCACACAGCGGCACATGCCTTTCAGCTGCATACGATTCCAGAGTCACCCGGTCTCCCCCCCCCCCCCCCCCCCTCCCCCCCTCCTCCCTATGCACCTCTCTCACTTTGTCTCTTCTCTTCCATGGGTTCCGTGCATTCTACACTCTCCTTTCTCCCCCCATGTCTGAGTGGTTTCCCATTTGCCCATCCCCTTCCCCGTGTCCACTATTGCCTTCTTAGAAAGTTAAGCCATCGCAATTAATTCTCAGCACTGGACAGCTGAAAGGATGCAAATGCTGGCTAGGCGCGCGTTGGCCTCAGCCTGCTAGACGCTTCAGGTTGTGCAGCTGCAAGCATATCCTTGGTGTGCCGTGGAAGTGGCTGGTGTTGATGAAGCCCTGGACATGACATCCCATTTCTGTTGTGCTCTTCTTCTATTTCCCCTCTCCTCCCATCCCCCCCCTTCCCCCGTCCCCCCCCTTCCCCCCAATGGTGGCTTTCCCAGGCTGGTCCCTTGCCAAGCTGCCTGGTCTTAACTACTCCAATACGCCATGCTGGGAGGATACCCCACCTCACAGCTTTAGTCCCGCATGGCCATGGTCGAGCTGTTTCATTTGGCTCCTGGCCTCTCTCCAACTCCCATACTCCGCTGCATACCGCCCCATCCTCAATTACACATGTAGTCCGTCTCACAAACGGTCCATGTTCCATGATCCTCTACACTGAGTCTTGAATCTTATCACTGTTCCGTTGTGCTGCCCTAAACATGTGTATCTTCCGATCTCGTTAATTCTGGAATGTACGCCACAATATAACTTCCAGTCTCTTGAGTTCTACTCTTCACACTATGATTGTAACTTAGCTTCAAATGTTACATAAAAAACATATTGAATCCGTTTCACCTCAACCATACAGCTCTACCCTAAATCATGTAACATATCACTCTAAAAGCCCACCCCGCCTCTACGCTGTTACGACACTGCTGTGCGCTTTCGTGGAACTCTGGACAAAGTCGGTCCCCAGATCCCCGCCCTGGTCTGGTCACATAGCTCGCTCCATGTTGCGGAACACTTCGCACAGTGCACCCATGGCATTCCACAAAGTATCCTACGTTGGGGGGCATGATTCTGGGGCCACAAATTTTGTGAAGTAGCCCGAACGGCATGTGGTTCCACTCGTAGAGTCCCATGGAATGCGGTCTTGCGCTCGTCTTCCTCAGCTATCGGGATTTGGTTAAATCGCTGCCTTTGTAACGACCCTTGCCCTTATATCATGGGCAACAAGGGTTGAAGTCCAAACTCAACATCCAAGATCCTAGGATATAAAATGGGGTACAAAATCAACTAACGATCCCCTAGCGTGGTATTTAGGAGGAACCTCCTCTAAGAGGTAGTTTAAGCTTGAGGAAGGTCCTTGAAGAAAAGTGCTTGAGACTCTGGTTGGGTAGGGCTTCCCCTAGGAGATCACACTAGAAGCCACTAGTGTAGGGAAGCTTGTGAGGAGAACTCATGACTTAGAGAAAAATCCCATTTCAAGATTGATTTCTTGGAGTGGGAAGTTGAGAATGAGCTTCTCAGCCCAGACCCCTTCCAATGACTCCCAGCAGCTGCTCAACCTCCTCCATGGCTCCAAGGAGGTGAGCTAGCTTATGTGGCAAAGGGTTGGATTTCCAACCAATGAGAGGTTTACAGCAATATATTCAGATTAGCATTTAGTGTACAGCATAAGAATATTCGAGTTGAGTTGGCACTGCCAACCAACTCACTGGTTCTGATTGGTCGAAAACCCAACCATCGCGTGAGTTGGCCAACTCAATTTGTACAACTAAAATCTGATTGGCCCGAAGTGTCGACCAATCCCAATCCTCCCCTCCCAACCCTTCCTTCCTATTTCGCGCTACCTAGCATAGGTAGCCGTATTGTGGAAAGCGGTTGGGAAGGTCGTTTCTAGGCCCGCGTACTGTGCAGAGGCCATGCGTTACACTCCTCCCCCTCCAGGTGGCAACGTCCTCGTTGCCGTAGAGTGCTTCTGGGGACGGGTGCTTCGAGCGCGCCGAATCACATTACGACCAGGGTCAACACCATCCACTGGTTGTGAGGCTGCTCTTTGAGCCAGGTCTTCCAGATATCCGTGAACCGCAGTTTCGGTCAAATGTTCCTCTGGCTCCCATGAGTTGTGTTCAGGCCCATAGCCTTTCCACTTAATAAGGAACTCGCGTACTGTCTTGCGGCCGCGCTGTCGATCACGGTGCATGAGCACACGCTCGACCTCATAGAAGAGTTCCTCTCCGAGGACGATCGTTGGCGGAGGTAAGTACTTGCCTTCAGCAATGTACTTATTGAGCAGAGACACGTGGAAGACATTGTGAATCTGCAATGTTTCGGGTAACTTCAACTTGTAAGCTACCACACCAACACGCTGGATCACCTCGAACGGCCCAATCCATCGAGGGAACAGCTTTCGTGCCCCAGGGATTTTGAGACGAATGTTCTTCGTGCTCAATAATACCTTGTCTCCAACCTCAAAAGAGACTTCCCGGCGTTTCATGTCGGCATAAGACTTTTGTCGCTGCTGAGACAGCTGCAGCCAGCGGCAAGCAGACTTGAGCGCTTCTTGCTGCTTGCCCACAAAGTCTTTCGCGGCAGGGACTCGCAGTCCGCCTATCCCATGCGTAGCAGGTGTCGTGGGATGCCGACCACAGTTCAGAATGAAGGGTTTTTCATGGGTACCTTCATGGACGGAATTGTTCACTGCAAACTCAACCACAGGTAACAAGTCATCCCAATCATCCTGTGTTGGGCCAATGAATGAACGAAGCATTTGCTCAAGAGTACGATTCGTTCGCTCGGTCTGCCCATCCGTTTGGGGATGGAAGGCTGACGACATCTTTAGCTTCGTTCCGAGTGTCCGTGTAACTTCGTGCCAGAATCGGCTTGTAAAGCGCGGATCTCGATCGGACACCAGCACACGCGGTAACCCGTGTAAGCGGAACACATGTGCTACAAACAACTTGGCCGTATCTTCCGCGGATACGTCTGTTGTAGTAGCAACGAAGTGCACCATTTTGGTCAGTCGATCCACAAAGACCAAGATCGCAGTATGGCTGTCTCGTGTTTTTGGGAGGTCTGTGATGAAATCCAGTGAGACACTCTCCCAGGGTTCGTCTGGAATCTCCAGTGGTTGAAGCAAACCACCAGGCTTTTTCGTGTCTGACTTGTTGCGAGCGCATGCATCACAACGCGACACGAATTGTTGGACCTCAGTCCCCAATCCAGGCCACCAGTACACGTCACTTAAGGCCCACCGGGTTTTCTTGATACCCAGGTGTCCCCCGTACTTGGTGCTATGCACTTCCTCAATTATATCATTCCGCAGGTTACCCACGTGGGGTACCACAATCTCTTTCTCTCGCCACCAGAGCTCATGCTCGTACTTGAGGCCCTTCGTATTTTGTGGGTTCTGAAACCAGGAGTCAATATGGTATCCTGTGCGGATGCGTTTCAGAAAACCACTGAAGGTGACCTCACTCACTCGAGCCACGGCAAGAATACCGAAGCAAGCAGCAACCACTGCCTTATCCTCGGTTTCATCAAGCCCAGTCGCTGCCCCTATCGGCTGTCTGCTGAGGGGGTCAGCCATGTTCGTAGAACCTGCACGATATCGAATATCGAATGTGAACCCACTAAGGAGTTCTGCCCAGCGGGCTTGGCGCCGAGTGAGCGTGGCTTGAGTAGAGAAATAGGTGTTCGGACAGTGGTCTGTCGTGACCACAAAATCCACACCTTCCAGATAACATCGCCATGTTCGCAGCGCATGCACGACCGCCAGCAACTCTTGTTCTGACGTCGTATAGCGCTGCTCTGCCGGGGAGAGTTTCCTACTCTCAAATGCCACTGGGCGGCCCTCCTGCAAGAGTACCGCCCCAATCCCTACTGTCGAGGCGTCTGTGACCACCTCATAGGGTTTAGAAGGATTTGGCAATACCAGAACCGGAGCATTGGTCAGCTTTGTTTTGACTTTGTCAAATGCCTCTTGGCATTGTCGAGTCCACTCCCATGCACTACCCTTTCGGGTAAGTGCTGTCAGAGGGGCAACGACAGTTGAGTAATTTTCCAAGAACCGGCGGAAATAATTGGCCAGGCCTAGGAAGGACCTGATCTGGCCCACGTCTTGTGGGACAGGCCAATTCTGAACAGCCACCACCTTCTTGGGGTCGACTTTAAGTCCGTCGTTCCCGACAAGATGACCGAGGTATTCCAGCTCGCGTTTGTAGAAATGGCATTTCCACAAACGAGCATAGAACTTATGTTCTCGCAACTTTCCTAACACCCATTTTAGGTGTAGAGTGTGCTCCTCTTCAGTCTTGGAATAAACCAAGATGTCGTCAAGGTAAACCAGAACGAAGTGCCCGATTGCTTCGCGGAACACATCGTTCATGGCCCTTTGAAAAGAGGCTGGAGCATTGGTCAAGCCAAAGCTCAGCACACGCCATTGAAAATGGCCAAACGGCGAACGGAACGCCGTCTTGGGAACATCCTCCTCAGTGATGCGCAGTTGGTGGTACCCCTGTGCCAGATCCAACGCGCTAAACCACTGAGCACCCTGGAGTCGATCGAACAGGTCTTCTATCCTTGGAAGAGGATATCTGTTCTTGATCGTGATCTTGTTTAAGGCGCGGTAGTCGACGCACATGCGTAAACCACCACCCTTCTTGTTAACGAACAAGATTGGTGCTCCATATGGTGATGCACTTGGCTCAATCCATCCCTTCCTGAGGTACTCCTCAATCTGTTGTTTAGCCTCCTCGTACTCAGCTGGACTGAGGCGATACAGAGGTCGAAACGGTGGGAGCTTTCCAGGCTCCACAGGGATGGTGTGGCCCACGGCGCGGTCAGGAGGGAGTCCGTCTGGAATAGACTCAAAAACCTCCTTAAACTCATCCGCCAGTAACTTCATTTGAGGTGGAAAATCCTCAATGTCTGGCATTGGGGTTCCAGCTTCCTCGAGCTGTATGACGAAAAGTGTATTAGCAACGCGGTAATGCTGTCCGAATTGACATGCCAGAGCAAAACACACGTCTGCACTTTTCGTAATTTGAACCACCGGGATGGTCATATCGACAGACACCTGCCACTGGATTGGTTCACCATTCTTGGTGAAAGAAACTGTGTTATCCTGGAAATCCAAAATAACCTCATTTGCACGTAACCAATCCATTCCCAAGACTACGTCGACACCCGCAAGCAAGGGGAGAACGTAAGTGCGAATCTTTTCGCTATAGCCTTGGATTTCCATGTCGATCAATGTCCGTCCTTTGCTTGGGATAAGACTATCGTCCCCAAGACGAATGGGACATGACGGTCCTTCAACGAGGACCCCAAGCGGTGTGACCCACTTTTCATCAAGGAGGGAAACAGTGGCACCTGTATCGACAAGAATTTTCGCGCTATGTCCGTTAACGCGGCCCGAAATGAGTAGATTTTGTTGATGCATTGGGCGGATGGGGCATGCCACAATGTTCGACGAGGGTTTGTAGTACACCTTGACATTGTGGCGAGCTCGTCCAAAGGATTCCGATTTGGTCCACCACACATGGTGTCCCTTGTCCCAAGACGCCAGCACAACCCATCCTCGAAGCGATTTGAACGTTTCGCCCTTTACTGTACGAGTCACCACGGCGACCGCAGTCAGGGGGTGCTCTTGAGTACAACGACTCACGACATCGAGTACAGAAGGCAATGTTTCCAGGCCACAGTAAACGACTGAGAATTTATCGCGTAACGCTTCGATGGATATGGTATCAAGTGGGTACGATCGAGGTGCAAACATTGACTTTTTATTAAAAGAAGAGGCAAACAAACAAGAGATTTTGCATTCAGCAAGCTTCTCTAGCTTTACTAAATCATCGTCACATAAAGCATATGCCTCATCTCCCCGATCTATCTGACCAACTAGGTACCCACACCCTAGTTGGACTTCTGAAAATCCTTCTTACTGCCAGAAGGTCCTTCGCCGCCATTGTTGTTGCCCTTAGGCTTACCACTATGTTTTATGATATTCCTATAGCGGCACTGAAATTCCATGTGACCACGGCGGCCACACCCTCGGCAGACGACATTAGAGAAGTCCCTTGGCGGCCCTTTGTAACCGCCACCATTCGCCCTCTTAGCCGGAGGACGCTGCTGGTTACCATTCTGGTGGAAGGGCCTCTTGTACCCATGGCCCTTCCCCTTGGAATTCCACTGGCCACCACCAACATTGCCACCATCACCCCTCGCCTGAGTCCTCGACTCAGGCTGGTCGGTGGAAGGCGTTGCTAGCATACGAACAGTCTCGTCCGTTGCTTGAACTGCCTCTTTGAGCTCCTTGTAGGTGCTCCATTTGTTGAGGCCATTTGCGACATGCTTATCCTGCAGGGACTGGGGCAAATTCTGGAAGAAGATATACATAACTTCATTCTCAGACAGCTGCTTGCCCATCAGTCGCAGAACGCCCTCAAACTCTTGTGCATATTTCTGCACTGAGCGATCGCCACACTTGATGTTTTCAAGGCGACGACGCACCTCCATGTCAGTTGTCTTGACAAGAAAAGCCGCTTTCATTGCAGCACAGAACTCGTCCCAGGTGAAAAACTTTCCACTTGCTTCGAGCTGTTTCCGGCTAGCAAACATGGTTTGGCTAGCATGCTCATCCAACGCACCAGAGACGGCGGTGACACGAGCGTTGGTGCGCACGTTGTGGAGAGTCAGCATTTCATCCACAGTTGTCACCCAGTTCTCAACATCCGTCTTGCCATGGATGAATTTTGGGAGCGCAGTGGGGAGCGAGCCAAAAGGCGTTGCCATGGGCTGGACAGGTTGCTGAGGTGCTGCAGTTGTAGGAGATGCAACAGGCGGCGGGTTGGATTGGGTGCCCGACGGGCCAGCAGTAGCGGGTGAGTGTTGGTAGATAGGACCCCGCCGAATATCCGTGTACTGGTTCTGCAGGTGGGCAATAGCAGGTTGCATCGGGGCGATTGTAGATTGCAGTTGGGCAGTTGTAGTCTGCAGTTGGGTGATAGCAGCTTGCAGCTGGTCGCACGTTTTCTCCAGGGCCTGGATTTGATTGCCCCTGTTATGTAACAGACGCTTGTGATCCCGTACCTCTCCATATGCCATATTGAGATCGGCTTGCAGCCTAGTCGTGTCGGTCTTTTGTGTCGCCAAAGCAATATTGAGGGAGTTGATGTGTCCCTTCTGCTGATTGATTATAAGCTGCTGCTCAGAGACTTGTGCTTGGAGTTTAGCCACATCATCGGAGAGCGACCATTCCTCGATGCCATCATCCTCCCCCTCTGCTCCATCAATCCCTTCTGCTTCTCCATGCTCTTCATTACCCTCATTCTCCAAATTCAGGTCCACCAATTCAATGTCAGCCATAGCCTCATCTTGCTGTTGGTTATTACTGGCAGCAAGGTTGGCTCCCTCAGGAGTCACATTAGGCTCCTCCCTTTCCAAGTTCTCCAAAACTTGACTTGAAGTCATGGTAAAACAAGGAAGATATTTCAACAGATCTGGAATGTTCTTTAAAATCTCTTAAGAAATCTGTTCAAGTCCCAATCACTGCAGTGAGAGGGCAAGACAATCTCTATAAAGAGATCTCTTAACAGAATAACTTAATAAGAGAAATTACAAGAAATACAATCTGTTGCCCAATCCCTAGCACCTCAATGCTAGGGTAAGATCTAAACTAGATCTTGCAACAGATCACAGATCTGAAACCCACTCCTCAAGGGAGTCTTCCACCAACAAGGTGGGTAAGAGAGAAAATGTTCTCTCTTCAAATCTTGAATGGTGGAGGTAGGAGAAGAGGTTGTGCTGGAAAATTGTCTCGAGAAGTGGAGGAATTGATGAAGATCTTGAAGAAGTTCTTCAAAATGACTTGGAGAAACTTGTGATCTCTTGAAATCTTCACTCCAATGTCTTGGATTGAGGGCCAATCACCCCTCTAAAAAAAATAGATCAAGAAAAATCCCACAAGGCTTAAGATTAACGTAGCTCTGATTACCAATGTAACGACCCTTGCCCTTATATCATGGGCAACAAGGGTTGAAGTCCAAACTCAACATCCAAGATCCTAGGATATAAAATGGGGTACAAAATCAACTAACGATCCCCTAGCGTGGTATTTAGGAGGAACCTCCTCTAAGAGGTAGTTTAAGCTTGAGGAAGGTCCTTGAAGAAAAGTGCTTGAGACTCTGGTTGGGTAGGGCTTCCCCTAGGAGATCACACTAGAAGCCACTAGTGTAGGGAAGCTTGTGAGGAGAACTCATGACTTAGAGAAAAATCCCATTTCAAGATTGATTTCTTGGAGTGGGAAGTTGAGAATGAGCTTCTCAGCCCAGACCCCTTCCAATGACTCCCAGCAGCTGCTCAACCTCCTCCATGGCTCCAAGGAGGTGAGCTAGCTTATGTGGCAAAGGGTTGGATTTCCAACCAATGAGAGGTTTACAGCAATATATTCAGATTAGCATTTAGTGTACAGCATAAGAATATTCGAGTTGAGTTGGCACTGCCAACCAACTCACTGGTTCTGATTGGTCGAAAACCCAACCATCGCGTGAGTTGGCCAACTCAATTTGTACAACTAAAATCTGATTGGCCCGAAGTGTCGACCAATCCCAATCCTCCCCTCCCAACCCTTCCTTCCTATTTCGCGCTACCTAGCATAGGTAGCCGTATTGTGGAAAGCGGTTGGGAAGGTCGTTTCTAGGCCCGCGTACTGTGCAGAGGCCATGCGTTACAGCCTTAGGTCGAGCGTCGAGAAGACCTGTGCGCTCTGCAGCTGGTCAAAAATCTCGTCTGCCAAGGGCGTGGGGTACCTGTCCGCCGCTGTCACTTTGTTCAACCCACGATAATCTCTACACATCCGTCGCGACAACACCTCGCACACTAGGTCTGTTCGTGCGGATACCACCGCCGCTGCCGCATAGCCTGACGCGGACAGTCGGATCAATCCAGCTGCGAGCAGTTCGCGACACTTTTCTGAGCAGACCTTCAGGTCCTGCGGACTCATCCGCCTTCGCCGTTGGTACATGGGTATCTCTGTAGTCAGTGATAGACGCATGTCCGTGGTCGTGCAGGCGCTGAGCTGGACGAGGCTGTAGGCGAAGCTTGTTTGATACCGGCCCAGCAGGCTCTTCCATGGCCTTGCGACCTGCTGACGTCATGGCTTCTCCAATGTCCCACTGCGCCACTCTCTCCGCCCCCGTCATTGCCCCGTCTGCCATGTCATTCTTTTCTGCTGGCGCGCTTGAGGCTGCCTCTGCCCCGCTTCCCTCCTCTCTCGGTTCGTCTAACCCAGTTTCCCGCTTCCCGTGCTCTGCCTTCCTTCCTTCCGTACCATCTCTGCCTCCAGTGCCATGTACCCCGCCTCTGGCTCATTGTCCATCCAAGCCGCTTCCTCCTGCTCTCCCTCTCCTTCCTCATCCTCGTCTGCATCCGGCGCGCTCCGTATGCGCCCTTCATTGCTTCAGTTTCATCTCGCCAGTGGGGTCGCCTCTGCTCTAGTGGCGTTCCTACCGCCGTCTGCTCTTGCTCTTCCCTCTCACATTCCTCTAGCAGGGCCTCGGCCACGTGCTGCTTATTGGCTACTTCTTGCGTCTGTGGCAGAATGGCCGCTGCCTTGTCTCTCTTCCTTTCCAGCCGGCATCAGGCGTGCTGGAGCATGATGGTCGCAATCAGCCAGTGTAACGCCCCCAGATCCATGGCCTGCCCCAGTGCCTTCCGTCGCTGTGCTTCGGTCACGTCTGGCCATGAAGCCCAGCGCCAGCTCTCTCTCCAGGGCTGTTGGCTCCTCCCACTTGCGCTCGCCTTGATCGTAGACCATTCTAGGTCCTGGCTGTCCCCACTCCATTCTGAACCCATAGGCGCCCTCATAGGCCACGAGTGTAGGCCATGCTTCTCGTGGCTGCCCTATCTGGTTGCAGCTGTACTGAGATTTGTGATCTTGCACAAGGATTAGGACCGGCTTCCTGCGTGCCTCGAGGATGTCCTCCACTACCCTGGCCCTTGGTCTCTCCATCATCGACAGGTGATATCGCACTGCCGCCTCTGGCAGTCCGTTTTGCCAGTAGGTGCGCACTCGGTACAACCTGCCCCCTGTTTGCGCCCCATCCCAGGTCACTCCTGCCCAAGGTACGCCGACCACTTCTTTGTGCGCCCGTCTGACCTTCTCTCTGGGGTCCTGTGACATGTCCACGTTCTCAACGATGTACCGGACCTCTCCCTGCTTTTCCTTGAGGAGGCGCATCACTCTGGCCATCTCGTGAAAGAGGGAGCTCCTTGAGTCTTGCATGCTTTGCCCCCCTCCCGGCTCGCGAGTACCCCTGGCACTCCCATCCTGCCACCACCAGGTCTATGTGGCCCCATTGGTCCAGGCAGCGCTGGTCGATCTTCCGCACGTCATCACACTGCCATACCGCGCCTGCCTCTACTGCCTCCGTTGTGAACTGGAATGGGTACCTCTCCTGCAGCAGCTTTATGTGATGCCAGGCCATACAGTTCGCTGCGGGGTCCGGTTCGATGTAGATGTGCTTGTCGACGGTGAGCCGAGCTTTCAGCACCACCGCCAGACCGGTCGATATCCTTCCGAAGAGCTCCTGCAGTACTATCGGCCTTTGCAGCACCTTGGTGTTCAGGTCGAGATTCGTCCCCCACCGTTCCGCCCTCTCTTCCCTGCTCGCCTTCTCTACTTCGTATTCCAGCCAGTCCCAGACTCCCACCTCTGTGGCCGCCACTGGGGTTACTGCCTGATAGGCTTCTTGCGGCTCTCGCTTGATGAACCGCACCGGTAGCTGCCCCAAGCCCCCCTGCTTCTCCCAGAACTATATTCGGTACGACATGGTCTCCTTCCACATGTTGATGGTTGCGCCTATCTTGTAGAAGAACTCAACCCCTAGCAGCAGGTCGTAGTCCTCTGACTGCGACACTCCACATTGCATCCTTACAGTGCATTCTCCCTTCTCTCTCGGCTGCAGTACAATCTCCACCGTCCGCCGGGTCTTCGGCATCCATTTTGCCGCTCCTCCCTTTGCTGTCATCAGCAGGTATCCCTCCTCAATCAGCCGGTTCTGCTGATTCAACTTCAGCTGGTCTGCCCGCCGTTTCCCGATTAGGACGTGATGCGCGCCCACGATAGCATGTTTTGTCGTTATTCCGCTCACCGCTACTGCTCCCGCCTCCACGATGAGCACAGATGCTTGGCAGCTGAGGCGTTCCAAGTTCCCCGTTGCTTCCGCAGCTGCTCTCCGTGGCGCCGCATCTCCCCTCATTCGATTCGCCTCTCGGTATCGTCCTCCGCTCCGCAATCCCAGCTCCTCTCGCTCCCACCCTCATCCTCTTCCTGCGCGAACAAGGCGGGTTGCTTGCCCTATCCTCCTTCCAACTCCGCCAGCCACTGCTGCAACTTGTCAATTTCCGCTCATACCTCCGCCGCCCCTCTGATCACTCTGCCCCTTTGCTGTGAGTAGCAGTCGTGCTCCTTGTGTCCCCCCCGCCCACACTTCGCGCATGTTGGCGACTCGGGGCAGTCCCATCGTAAGTGGTCGGTGTCTCCGCAGATGGAGCAGGCTGGCGGATTTCGACAGTCGCGCCGGAAGTGGCCTGCTGGCGGCAGTTGTGACACTTGCGGTTTTTGCTACCTCCCCTCCGTGCTCCCTCTGTTTCCACCGCTGCCACTGCCCATGCAGGCCTCCTGCGGTCTGCCAGTCGCTCCGTCTGCCTGTGTGCTTCGAAGAGCCGACGTCCCGTCTCTATCCGCCGTGCCACTTCATAAGCTTCATGCAACGTGGCGCCAAATCCTATGTCGATGATTCTACTCCGCACGTCTTGCTGCAGCTCTGGACTCAGCACCACCAGAAACTTAATGATCAGCCTTCCCTGGTCCTGGCACTGCATATCCTCCCTCAACTCTACTAGCCTTCCATAGTAGGCCAGTAGGGACTCGTCATTCCGCCTCCTGAAGTCTCGGAACTCACGTACTCGTTCCGACGCCTGCAGGGGAAACTGTTTCTTTAGCATCAGCAGGAACTTCTCTGTCGGGTCCCTTTTGCCCGGCGGCGCCTCCGCCGCCCAGTGTAGCAATTCGCGGTGCGAGATCCGGTAGTAGGTCTCTGCCTCTCTTGTTAGCGTATTGGCCAGGCCCCTGAAGAATTCTTCCAGCGAAAGTTCATCCTTCTCCCATCACGCCATCACATTCTCCAGCTGCATGACGTAGTTCTTCGGGCTTCCTCGCCCGCCCCCCTGCCCACTCCCTTCTCCTTCGGGCGGAGGCTTCTCCGTTCCCTCCATCTCACGCTCTTTCGCGTACTCCTTTCCGGAACGTAATGGCATCTGACTTTTTGTATGTAAGGATATGCCTCCTAACCAACAGTCTGCTGCCACTAGTCATCACACCACCCAGTTCTTTGTTGATGTAATCGCCAGCTAGTTCTGCCAGAGCTATGAATCTGACGACTGAACTAAAAGCGAGAACATACAAAAAGAGGTTCAAACATTGCTATGCAAGGCTATATTACCCCTCCTCCTGCTGTGTCTTCTCCCCAGGCTACCGACTCCATCCTGCTGGTGAAACAGAAGGCAGACAGCCTTTACTGCCAGCCAATAAACGATTGGCATCCATCCTGCCATCCAAATCCTTGCCCAGTTGTCCACCTGCACACACACACACACATGCACACGAAAGTGCGAGGAACAACAGAATATTCCCCAGCCATCAACCCAGGTTCGGCCGATCCCCAACCTGCTCCCAACCTCTGCCATCAACCCCCAGTTGGCCCCAAACCCACGAGCTGCTGCTGCCAGCTAGCTCCACCTCTCTCTATGCTATCCCCGATAGCAGCCTTCCCGCCTCCCTTCCCTGTGCTCTCACCCATTACCAACCCTCCTCCCATCTGGTCCCTATATACACACATGTACATTATGTACAATAATGCCTTCCTCTGTCAGCACTTCTTCATGGATGTCATCCATTTAGAAATCCCCAGAGAGAGAGAGAGAGAGAGAGAGAGAGAGAGAGAGAGAGAGAGAGAGAGAGAGAGAGAGAGAGGGAGAGAGAGAGAGGGAAAGAGAGAGAGAGAGAGAGAGAGAGAGAGAGAGAGAGAGAGAGAGAGAGAGAGAGAGAGAGAGAGAGAGAGAGAGAGAGAGAGAGAGCATGAGCAGAAAAGCATGGCGGGAAAGAGAGGGGACATCTTTGATGAGACAAGGCATAGACACATGGCCATGGGATTTTTGATTGGCATAATGCCACAGAACGATTCCCATTACATGTGCGGTGTATTCAGACCGTGACCGACACCTTATTGAGCTTCTCCTCTCTCCCACGATGCTTGAATTGACAGGACTCGTAAATGGATGGCCATGGGAGGAGCACGACCCTTACGAGTACGCAGTCACTGACAAGGACAGTCATGCGCAGTCGACTGCGCCACGCCTTGCACTGGTGGTGCTCGTGGTGTGACAGCTGTTTCATCCTCTTTATAATCGCAAAAGGCTTGGAAGAACACATCGGCACCGCCTTTCGAAGAGAGAAATCATACCGGCGTTTACAAACATCTCGCCTTTACTCGCGGTGCGATCCAAGACCTCATCATTACGGGCTTTGCCGTGGCAGTCCCCACACGAGACATGCTAGCATGTGTTAATCCATTGAACATAGTGGAGCAGCGAGACAAATGCTGCCTCATCCTTGACCTGCGTAGAGTAAACGCTCACCTCGAGATTCCCAAATTCAAGTACGAAGGCTCGAACCGGGTCGCCGATCTCATCCGCCCGGGCGGCTGGATGTTCTCAATCAACCTTAAATCCGGTTATCATCACGTCGAGATGCATCCCTCCTACTGGAAGTTTTTGGGCTTCCAATTTGAAGGCGCATACTACTCCTTCCGGTCACTACCTTTTGGCCTTGC